TTAAGCCAAGTGGTGGCAGTGGAGTGGTTGTGCACGTAAAAAACCAGAAGCATCCTACAAATTTTGTTTTCATCTCCATCATTTTTTAGAGGAGGGCCTGGAGGGCCGCCATGCCTGTGGCATCATAGACGAGAGGGTATGTATGTTTGTAGTATGTGGAAGGTAAGGTAGAACGACGACTGGGAGTAGGGGCAGAATAACAACCAATTTATTTGGCCACGCTGCAAATTGTTACCCAACTCGCATTCGATCAACATCATCATCATCATCGTAGTCATCGCATCCTTTGCAGGACTCTCCTGACGAAGGGGCTTCTGGTGGCCAGTCGTAGTCATCATCAAAAATCGTTGATTGCAACAAAACAAATTGCATTTTAAGGAGATTACTTGTCCGGACCGCCTGCTCTCTAGATGAATAGTTCGTCGAGTGGGTAGAGCGGGTTCTGTGGGTGCCCCCCCTCCAATCAGTTCAATTGGTTCAGGGGCATGAGTACGTGTGTGTGAGTGCATCAGAGGGTCCTGTCTATGTCCTGGAAAAGCCATGGAGCACCGGGTACGAGAATGCGAGAGGCCGATTTGTTAATAAATCATGGCGAATTAGTTTTGGATTGCACAAAAAATGCACTGCATGCACGTCTTTGTGTGTTTTTTATACCCGGTACTCGAAGAGTAAATAGGGTATATTGTATTTGTGTGGAATAACGGTTGTTGTATGCAACGCACAGAAGGAAGCGTTTCCGCCCATAAAGTATATATATTTTTGATCAGCATCAATAGCCGAGTCGATGTCTAGCCATGTCTGTCTGTCCGTCCGTCTGTCCGTCTTGTTTGTCGGCTAGTTCTCAGAGACTATAAGAGGTAGAGCCACCAAATTTTGACTCCAGACTGCTGTATGCTCATACTGAAACCAGTGTATTTTAAAAATGAGCCCCGCCCCCCCAAAAGTGCGAAAACCTCCCAAACCTACAATTTTGAAGTTAAAAGAAAACTAACTTCCATAGGGAATGGCCATATCTATTAGATAACCAAAATGAGATCCTATTGGATCATTATTATAGCCACAATGAAGAAATGAATTTCCAGTGGCTAAATCCACCTTTTTCTTTTTACATTATCTCATTCACATGCTGCTTCGGCCTCTGCCTCTGCCGCGAGTCTGCAGTGTGTGGGTCTAAGGAAGGGGGGCGAGCTAAAGGAGCGTGTTGGTGTAAGAAGTGTTGTAGATGAGATGACAGTTGAAGAAAAAATTTAAAATTTTACAAAACACCGCTAAGGTGCAGATGTAGTACTGAGTGCCGGGTATAAAAGTTGTGACGCGTAAGAAGCGTCTCACACGTCCCTTCTCGTTTTTGGTGTGAATTGGTAGACATCAATCGAGTTTCGGAATGATGGTATACCGAAGGTGAAACAGAAAAAAAAATTGCTTATCTTGATATACAGATTTCTAAGACATGCAGACTGGGTATAATGATTGCAGAGAATGAGAAGTGGATATCTAATTGATAATAAATGAAAACTCTGTCACTTTTTTCTTTTTACACACCTTTATTCTCCTATTCCGAAAAATAAGTAAGCACGCACTTGCACGGCAGACAATCGAGCCATACGAAGAATGTAGCATTTTCCCACTCTCTCATAAATGATCGTACTTGTATTTATCTTTTAAATCCGGTACTCGAAAAGTAAATAGGGTATATAGCCATGTCTGTCTGTCCGTCTTATTTGACGCTACTTCTCTGAGACTATAAGAGCTAGAGTCACCAAAATGTTGTGTGAACATTCATGTGAATCAAAATTTGTTTTAAAATATAGCCACGCGCATGAGGGCGGGTGCAATCGACAAACAAGCGGGCAGACAGATTTTGATGCTGTTCAGAATATATATGTATACTTTATGGGGTCGGAAACGTTTACTTCTGTGCGTTACATATGAACATCCACTTTCGAGCAGAAATAAAATGTTGAACATTTACTCTTCGAGTACCTGGAATGAAAAAATAGCACAAAAATACTTTTATTCAGCTTTACTATTCAATTGGAAACTCTACGTTTATGTACATAGTACATAGTACAAATAAACCTTTTATTTTAATAAAAATTAAAGGTTATCTCTTGTTAAAATCAAGCGGAGTACAAGACGGGTACAAATCCTTAAAATTTGTTGGCCAATAATGTATATTGCTACAAATTCGCGTACATTGCGTAGAAACAGCATGTCCCTCTAGTGCTGTAAAAACATCAAAATATATGTATATTATGATCTGTTCTAAAGCTGTTTGCAAACGCCCGCCCGAGACCTGCTAATAAAAACAAATCTACGCCACAACAAAAAGCTCACTCTGCCTTGGGGTGAAAGGAAAGGACCTAACCTTACCCAACAAAAAAGCGACCAATAAAAATCCAAGAATGGTAAAAAATGCATGATTCAGGCAGTAAAAGATCCAAAACGTCCCGGGCAGCCGTCGTCGTCGGAAGGGGAATTTGTTATGAGTCACCAACCAGCCTGCTCCAACGCATACCTAAAGCGCATGAAGGTAACAAACACACAAACAAGCAGGGACTTGAATGTAGGTCCAGGCCCGAGCCCGAGGCGGAGTTCTACCCAGAATAAATTTGCAGAATAAATGCAAATGTTTCCGTGTGTCCGTGTGCGGGAGTTTTTTTCTTGTTGGCCTAGTGGCCAACCACGCGGCGTATTAGTAATGTAATTTGATTTGATTTTTATGTTTCGGCGACAGGGATGAGAATGGGATTCGTGGATGTGAATGGGGAAAGGGGATGAGTACGCTACAGGGGCAAATAGAGGACTTTTATGTCCGACTAATGGCTATAAACGCACGACACGAACTTATCGCAGCTGCCATGCTAATTGCAAGTGAAAAGTGATTAACTTTAATTGCAGCATATTAAAGCCTCGAATTGAGGCTATCTGAACATATACTGTGTGTGTGTGTGTGCAACTCTCATGAATGAGAGCTGCCACAATATCATAGGGCCACAAGTCAAAAGTCCTGCAACTGGCCATCATTCCGTACAGACAAACAAACAGACAATTTTCACTGCGGATTACAGAGACCAGAACCAGAGAATACCAAAAGTTTTCTCCATGCTTGTACCCTGTATTAGTAGGGAAAAAGGATATGTTTTATTTGTAGCAGGCAACATTCAGAAACTATGAAACAAAGGTTTCCACTGGGTATCTCGTTGTCGTGACATTCATATTTCCAGAATGCTTTCTTTGTTTAGATTTGGAATCAAAATGTGTGTGAGAATCAACGTTTAGTTTTTGCTTTGTACAAGTCCAGAGTTTTCCAAATCTGAGCCATGAATATTTGTAATTTATTTTGCAGACATTCTGGCAAATTGCTTTTTATTTGAAACAAATGTGCACAACACAACACAATGTGCATTCAGTCCCAGGTTTGATTGCCAAACTGAAAATAAATTGGGTGAAAACAGAGCATCAGACGGGAAAAAGGCAATAGTCAGTCGATATTGTGTGCAAATTGAAACTAATTAAAGCGGTGTAATCAATTGATATATATTCAATCGGTCCCGGTTTTCGGTTGGATGCTCCACCACCGAAATTCAATATTCGACATCCGAGTCTCGGCCGACTGCAACTGCTGCCGACGGCACAGATCCAGCTGAGAGACAATCCAATCAAATCTGCTGTTGTTAAAGCGTTTTGATTTCAGTTTCAGTTGATTCGGTTTCTGATTAATTGCATTGAAATTATTTCAATTTGAAATTTCAGTAAATTTAATAATTGCCACTCAATTCATTGTGGCTACTGCACCATAAGGCCTTGCTTGATGATAGCTTGGTTTAATCGCGAGGCGACAAAATTATGAATAAAAATATGGGGAAGGAACAAAAGGAAAAATATTGCCAAGCACTTTCCTATTATAATGATGAGAAAAATGCATTTAACGACAATAATTCATATTTTTGTAACACATTCAATGTACATACATGTAAACCTGAATTTAAATATGACGAGAGCAAGCAATCAAAGGTCAGTCGAAAGGACCACACCAGAAATGGGCAGTTCTCTTGTTCGAAAACTTTTCGTTTAAATTGGAAGCTCATCTGATAAAATTGGGGAACTATAAAGCGGGTTTATTTAGCAATTATAGAATATGAAAAAAGAGTAGAATAATTAAAAATCCAAAGTAGCCCACTTTCGATTTCTCAGTGGAATACTAAGAGGAACAACATACATGCGAACATAAAAATGACAGAAGCTAAAAATATATATTTTTTAAATGTTTGTTATACATAAGTATATTTTTTGTGTTTTTAATATTTTTTCTATAAAAAACGCGTATAATTTAGACGCATTCCCTCCTCGAAAGTTGACTCATTCATTTTATTGTGTGCATCTTTTTGTCAATTTCCATGTAAAATATATGTAATATAATTTTCGAAAGAGGATAAAGTAAAAATACTGTTTGTTTACATGATAGATATGTATGTACATTCATATATATACATACATATGTACATACATATATACATACATATGTACATACATATATTGGCTATAGACCGAGGCAGAACCACAATGCCTTATTTGTACCTTATTATTATGCCTTTATTTGTACGATAAATATTATTGAAGATGAACGACATTTAACGGAGTCTATTCATTGTATTTTTTTTTAAAGAATATTATATTTTCCATATTCCGATTTATTCGAGGAGGCAGAAACGTCAAAAGCTAATAGTTTGTACATGTAAGTACATATGTATGTGTATATGTACATAAATAAAGATATTAATTTGTTTTTAATTTAAAATTGTTTCTATTTACCCGTGTCGGATCTTATCTTAGTGGATAGACTTATTCTAACAAGTGTAGACAGTTTTAAAAAAGCTTTTGCATAACTCTCAATAGACACACAGGTGGAGGGCGTTGCGCAAAGACATCGAGGGTAGGCCAGGGTCACGGTAAGGCTATTACGATCGACAAAAGCGACATGTTCGGATGCTACTTACCGTTGATTGTTGATCGTAACAAGACAGTTATTGGATGAGGGAGTTGTTATGCGGCAGCAGAGACATTCGAAACGTATTTAATTATTTGTCGAAGATTTTAAATTCAACGGTACACACTTTTAGTTTTACGGTTTTTGTTCAACTTTTTTTAATTTATTTTTAAAACTGAAAAGAAGAACCGATCCGAAACTGTAGAGTTGGGTTTTATAGAGCGGGTTCACGAGCACCTAGCAGTCATTTCTTGGAAGATCCCTGAGCCACAGTCGTAATAGTTGGTTTTTAATTAGTATGCTTTAGTCGGAGCACTTAAACGGATAAATGGGAAGTTTCAGGTGTAAAATGAGGTAATTTGTTATATTTAAAGCCGAGGCAAAGATTTGGTCAACAAACAGGTTTCGCAGCGATAAAACTGGAAAACGAAAAAAGACAACACAAAACAAACGCAATCAAGAAAGCGAAAAGCATCGTCTAACTGTAAGTTTTTTATAAGCAAATCAGCCTCTACGTTTCAGTGTGTTTGTGTGTGTGTGCGAGCACATGTACATTCAATGGAATCCAGTCACGACTCGCCGCCGCAAAGTCACAGAGGGCAGAGGCAAACACAGAGGCACAGTCTCGCACCACTCGCACACTCATTCAATGACAAAAAGCAAAGTCAGACAGACAGACAGGCAGCGGCGCTACCATGTAAGACCGTGACGGGGGGACACGGTGCAGTTGAAATCCAATTACAAATAGTTAAAGATATTAATTTTAGAAAACCACAGAAACACTGCATTATTGACGGTGGTCTCTGGTATATTTTTAATTTTTATGGCGTCATTGTCGTTACAGTTCGCACTCTCTCGCTCTGGCTCTCTTATGTGTGTGTGAGTGCCTTTGCTTTGTTGTTCTCTGTTAATGTTTGTTGCTTTGCTTAGATTATTCTCTCTCCGAGTCTCGGACAATGTCTTTTGTTTGTCTTTTTGAACAAAATAAAAATCCGACAGTCTGGCATGTTGTGTTTAAACAATTCTTCTAGCAGCAAAGCAAAAACACGCTGGCAAAGTCAGTCGCACAAACACACACATAAAAGCAGAAGTCACAACACTCTCACACCAACATCACTCTCGCACACACACACGTAGGCAGTTCAAATTAGTTGGCCAGAGCGAGAAAGCAAGAACAAACTGCTGCTGAGGCGGCGACGACGACGCCGACTGCGATTGTTATTTAAACATTTTTCTCTCATTCTGACACGCGACATTTCTTTCCCATTTCCAAAAAACACAAAACACATAGCATTGAAAAACATGCAAATGCAAGAGCAGCGTTCAAAAACAATTACAAAATCATGAGAATCAAGCACTTGACGCGCCGCCCGGGGCAAAAGCGGCAACGCGACTAGACGATAACTTCAGCTGAGTACGTAGAAATTCTTATTTTTTGTTCGACTTAATTTTGACCACCATCGTATGTCACTATGTTTCACTACCTTTTTCATAAATGTTCAATATTCCGTCTGTACGAACGAAAACAAAATCACATAAAAATCCGTCCGCAACCCCCACGGCACGCGTTTAAAATTTTGTTTTGATTTGAATTTGAATTCAAGCAAGGGAGCTTTGTCGCTGCGATATTTGTGGGAAAAATTAAGGTGTCGACAACAGGAAAAACGTCACAAGAATTCCAAGTGTGCAAGGTAAATTCCACCCCTGGGTTTCATAAAGTAACTATATAAGAAGGTCCAGTCGGGTGGCGTTCGGGTGTTTTCGGTTAAAAACTTTCTTTCATTGCGTCTCGCTTGCTGATGCAAGTATTAAACATATGCGCGCTGATAAAAACGTTTCGATTTTTGCAGCAATAAAATTTGATTTTTTTGAGAATAAGAGAATACGCAAAAAAATATCGAATAAAACACCAAAATATCAAATCGAAAAAAATTACCTCAACTCTTTTTCTTGCAATGGGGAACTTTAAGCCCCATGCCATCATAGGGTTAACCATCACACGATAGTTTTGTTTCACTTACACTCACAAGCTGAACGCGTTCACTCGCACTCACAAGCATCATAAATAAGTGACAAACGGGCCCGTCGAGACCTCCTTATATAATTGCTTCATGCATTACGTACGAGATTCACGAGGTGCGAGAAACGTGGGAGCCTTATAAAAAGCTCATCCTTTATACCTGGCGTCCTTACCTTGCTAAGGAGCCTATTTTACGCTCTCTCCGACTCATTTTTGCGCTCAGTGAGTCTACCTTCACTGCTCGAATGTAGGACGCAATCATGAAATGTTCGGAAATTTCCACGATTTTTATATTCTTTTTCATATTGCCAGCTATTTAGGACTCTCAGTCCTGAAATTATAATTTTATCCTATTAATGCATGAATTTTTCACAAGATTTGCTAGCATTTAGAACTACCTTTATTGAATTGATTACAAAATACCAAAAAATCGAAAAGGGCAATACAAAATAAGCATAGAACGTAAGTGGGAATGGACCACTTGTTGCTCGACAACCGGTAGTAAGGGCATTTGTATGCCCTATTTCAGTTTACCAAGCTGATTTTAATCATTAATAGGGACTTAATCTTAGAATGACATGAATGAACGTATTATTTACGGAATCTATAAAACAACTTGAAAAAATCAACCTCAAGGATCCAATCCGATTTGTTCTATCTGATATATGTATATACATAAGTATCCCAGCTCGGCGGAAAATCCTCTTAGACTAAGAAAAAATGTTGTAAGACACAGTCGTTTAAATTTGTGTTTTTTAGTTGTGTGGGTATAAAATGAATATAAAATACAAATTATTTTATTTTATTACGCATAGAGCCGATCCATGATCCATGGCAGCGATCGGCTTTTGAGTCGTGGTGATGGCGTCCGATGCTTACCTTACCATTCCAATTTAAAACAGCAGTTTGCTTTTTTCTTAAATATACGCTCTTGCAAATCATCTCCGTCCACCGTCGCCAGTATGGAATTGCACAGTGATCACATAAAATTGAATATTTGTTCCATAAAAACGAAGTATTAAACGGAATTCCTGATTTTTAAGAGAATGCGCCCTTGTCGATATTTCAGCTATCGATATGAGATACAACAAATAAATCGATTCAACTTCGGTTAAAATTTCCGGAATTGATCTAAAATGAACTGAACTACACTCAAATGACCGTACTACACTCAAATGAACTGAAATAGTCATGTTTATATTCAGGGAGTACATTTAAGGTATATTTTATACTTTTCAGGATATATTGACCACGAAATTAAGTTCATTGTATATTTACGGTGTATCGGTATATAATGGTATATATAATGAATATCATCGGACTATTAAATTCCATTTTTAAGGTAAATTCAATAATATAGGGTATCCAAATTTTCATCGCAACAAAGAGTCTTTATTCCATCCATAAGCGCCTACAACTTTGATTAAACCCACATCTGCAGGAAAGAAACTAGGACGGTCGTTTGTCTATACATTTCAGTACTATAAATCATATAAATATGTGTACATTTATGGAAACCCATGAAACGATATCCTGTGCATATTCCGCAGAAAATTGCATATGTCTGGGAATAACATCTGTAGCCTTCTTTGATTGGTGGAGCAGCAAGACCGTTCCAAGGATTATTTACGCCCGTGGCAAAGTTTTAAAACTGCGCCTCCAAGCACCCTTCCTATTAAAAATTTGATAGTTTTGAGTCCAAATCGCCGCCTTCGCCCCTTCACGGCACTGAAGCAACTGGCGTTCAAAAAAGTTAAACAAATTAAAAAGGCAACTAAATTCAATATAATCTCATTAACTTAATATAATTGTTTCCTTTTTTTGCCGTTTGATGGCCTTAAGCTCGTTCAGAAGCACGGTGCTCCATTTTATTGAGACATTACTCTCTGTTTGCTAGGTACCAGCGCGGAATATAAGACATATCTATATTTGTCGAACTGCTAGAAACATACCAACGAATACCACACAAATACTATCAATACCTCAAAATACTATCGGCTGACATTTTAGATATAATCGGCCAGTTTTGTTTGTCGATCTGAGTACTGCCACTAACCAAATGTTGATAATACGGCAGCAACGAAGTCGAGAAGCGACATCGTTTCCATAATATGCATAAAATTTTGAATAAAGCAGTATAAAATCAGCATTTAAAACAATTACAGCATTCAAATACAATAACAACTTTTATTGGTATATTTTTTATTTTTTCCAACCCCAAGGGTCCGCCCACCAACCCCCACCCACATTCTGCACATGTTGCGGTGTGTGTTGTGTTGTCCGTGTGAATCAAGCCTACTATACCATTTGGTTAGTGGTACTGCCTGGCGTACTGCCGCTAGAAAGTAACTTGTGCGCGACAACATTTCTTATAGGCTCCATACGAATATCATCCCTAATTTTTCTAGCGGCCCCTTTTTTTCGTTCTGAGTACTAGGCTAAAGGAAATTGATGACGATAGTGAATACGGTGAATTTAAAGGAAAATAATGTTTTGTCGTTTAAGCTTTACGAAGAAAGGAAATCAATTACCTCCAATAAAGAAATAATATGGATTTGAGACGTTTTTATTTAAATAAATCAATTTTATTTCCACAGTATATTTTACGGTATATTTTGAAAATGAAAAAGTATATTTCGGTATATTTTAGAGGCCCTGAGGTCACACTGGCGGTCACACTGTTTATAATTCTTCGATCAAACTTTGAAAAAAAAACTGGTGAAAAAGGGAAAATGATCTGTGTGTGAGAAATCCGGGACGTGAAACAGTGGTCAGTGGTCGCCATGGACAAGATTCTGGAAGAGGTGAGTGGAGTTGATTGCTTGCGCAAAAACAATAACAGTTGCTTCCACCCTTTGTCCATTCGTGTTTTCAGGTCAAAGGCAATGTGCAAAAGAAGTTTAACGAGGTTCGCGCGGCGCTGCATATGCGCGAGAAGTTGCTGTTGCGACAGCTGGAGGTCATCGCCAACACCCAGCAACAGCAGCAGCAGCTGAAGTCGTCGCCTGTGGACAACAAGACAGACAAGGAGCAGGGTGGGGTCCGCTTCATCACTGGCGATAGAGAGGAGGAGGAGAAGCTGCTGGCAGCCATACGAAGCTTTGGTCACTTCCTGCTGGACAACAGCAACATGCAGCTGGCGCTGCAAGACTATCGGAACACTGAACTGCGCAGCGAAGACTATATCGAGCCGCTGGACGACCACGAGACGATGTACAAGTGCCTGCAGGACCGCAATATTTCCTACTATGAGCTGGAAAACGAGGCGCAGCCCGAGGCCATAGTGGTGGACTTCTCGGGTAACAAGGCCGTCGTAGAAGACAACGCCAAGCGTTCCATTATTAACATAACGCTGAAGGAGGCCAAGGAACTGATACGCAAGTCAAAGATAAAGCGCGAGCACCACGCGCCTGTGCCAGTGCCGCCGCTCAATCTGGAGGAGCTGGATGATGAGCTGGAGTCGTCAATAGCCGATGCCGTCTCCAGTCTGGGCCGAGAGACGGCCAAGTCAACGAGCAGCTGCCTCGAGCTTCCACCAACTGATCCATCCACCAAGCCCAAGGGGCGCAAGCAGCGCTTCAAACCAAAAATAACTATCAACAACTGCAACGGCACTATCAACCTGCGCAACATTGCCAGTCTGACCATCAACTGCGCCACCGAAGAGGCCGTCAGTGCGGAGATCCCGGTCGTCAAATCTGCCGACTGCAGCAGCACCAACGAGCAGGATCAGAGTCAGTCGCAGTCCACTCCAACAACCACCGCCTCCAGCTCGAATTATTCGAGCAACGCTAGCTCTCGTTCGCATTCCAAGAAGCAGTCTAAGAAGCATGCCAGTCAGGCGGCGGCGGTAGAGCCGCCGATGCAGCTGGCAGCTTCCGGCTCTGGGCAATCCACACCCACACTCCGGAACGAGTATCGCTTTCAGGAGGTAGACACCCACGATGTCACCTGCGACTTCTACAACCGCCTGCTCAACGAGATAAAGAGGAGCATGAAGGAGAAGCCGCGTCGACCATATCACAATGTACCAGAGCCAGAGGTGGAGGCGCCCACAACGACCTCGTCGGTGCAAACAGCTGCTGCCGATTCTAGCTGCGACGCCAAATCCAACACAGTGCAGCCGCCAAGGCAAGACGATGTCTCCATGTCCACCAGCATCAACACACAAAGCCAAAGCAGAGTCACAGAGTCGATATCGGTGTCCGGGTCACAGGTAGCGCCGGGTAGGCGCCTGGTTTTAAAGAACTTTGAGAACCTGAAGATAATCCTTGAGGCAAACAGTGGGGACGAGGACTCCTTCCATCCGGTGCAAATCGAACAGTGGCTGGCCGAGATAATCTCCGAAACGGACCTGGAGCCAATGCAGAATACCGACATCCTCGAGCACAGCCACATCAACAATACGGAGAGCCCATAAGCAGGCAGTCAGTCGGGCAGGCAAGGCAGCATCCCAGCGATAGCCATAATTTCACATAAATCGCAATCAAAGCAATCCTAAAAAACGCACTCAGTATTCCCCCATACACACATACATATATACGTATATATCGTACGTAGATATAGTTTTCCCTTTAATTAATTGTTTTATGTCGATCCAATGATCCCCATGTACTTACTGCATTTGATTTTGTGATTTTATCGTTTTGTAAGACTTGAAAGTACCAATTTTATGAGCCACTAGGCCTAGGCTAGCATATAAGTGTTCAGTGTTCGCCACATCAAACAAACATAAATACTTACATACATATACATATATCTCTACTCGAAATCGAAATTGGCCTACATTAAAGTGTTAAATGCCATAATCTGTACCTGGATAATCAGACACTTTCGCCGACCCACTGGTTTCACCGGTTCGCCCGCTGAAACATTGCGAAATTTCAACACAAATCAATGAAATTCCATATGCGTCGCCCCACAAGTACATCCGCACATGGCACTGAGCACATTAGACTTCCAAATCGGATCTATTGATAAGCACATAGATACGCATACATGTACTTTTGTATATACGTATACGAAGTTTTATTCTGACGACAGAAACACCAGTAATGGTGATTACACATTAATTACACAGTGAAAGTTCCATAAAGCTAAAGACGACACCAGGGGAAAACTATTTGAAATATATATACGTGCTGTGTAGTATGGATTGTACGCTTTTTGAGACTTTCGATGTATAGTGGTTTGAACGTTTTTAGGCGGTTCGGCCAATGATGTCCAGCAGGTACGGGGTGTAGTAGGTAATGATGCAATCGGCACCCGCGCGACGGAAGCTTCGCATGGACTCAAGGACGGCATCTCGCAGCTCGAAGGCTCCTGCCTTGGCGGCGTAATAGAGCATGGCGTACTCGCCCGACACCTGGTACACGTACAGTGTGTGGTAGGGACAGGAGTCCTTGGTCTGTCGTAGAATGTCCAGATATGGCATGCCGGGCTTCACCATCAGCATGTCCGCTCCCTCGCTGACGTCGCGCTGAATTGCGCGCATGGCTAGGCTGCGGGATCCGCTGGGCAGCTGGTAGCACCGACGGTCGCCAAACTTGGGGGCCGACTGAGCCGCCTCCCGGAACGGACCGTAGAAGTTGGAAGAAAACTTGGCTGAATATGCCAGTAGCGAGACACTGTTCAGGCTAGCGTCGATAAGGGCCTGCTTAATAGCCCGCACGCGATTGTCCATCATGTCCGAGGGAGCCACTATGTGGGCACCAGCCTGTCCATACGCTACGGCGATCTCGGCAATCCGCTTTATGCTCGGTCCGTTCTCCAGGCCGTTTTTGCCCAGGAGACCACAGTGGCCGTGCGACGAATACGGACAGATGCACACGTCGCAAGCAATTAGTAGGTCGGGAAACCACTCCCGCAGCTTGGGCAGTGCTCGCACCACTGGGTTTACTGCCGAGTCCGCATTCGAGGCCTCCTCGTCTTTCAGTTCGGACTCTACCACGCCGAATATCAGCACGGAGGTCAGCCCCTTCTGGACCAGCGGCTCCAGATGCTCCCGCAGACGGTTCACTCCGAACCTGGAAATCCCCGGCATGCTTGCAATTGGCTGCACATCGTCATCGTTGCTCACAATGAAGACGGGGTACATCAGGTTGTGCGCTGAGATCTCACAGCCCGACTCCTGCAGCAGTCGCAGGGTGGGATGGTGCATGCCACTGTGCAGTTTCCTGTCCATATTTTTTTTCACACACTCTCTTGGAAATTTCGACGATATGGTATGTACTTTATTGTCAACACTATCAGCTGATGTAGGCCACTTCTGTTGAATGGCAATGTCGCTTAAAGACCACACTGTGAGTACGGACGCTTCAATACCCTTTTTGGATATTTCGTTTCCAACTGCTTCTATAGCACACCACCACGACTTGATAAAAACAATAAAATACAGTTTTGATGGACTCTCCCTTGAGTATGACCAAAAAATAGCGCAGAGTTGAAACCCGATGACACTGTGTGATCGGAAATGAGCTCCACTTCGTCAGCCGTTTTCTCGCGGCACATTTGAATATAGTTTCAATTTACTTCTTCCCCGAGATGTAGTTTTATGTAGCTCTATTCTTCGGTTTGACTCCTAGTTCTGGAAGTTATTTAAACAGCAAAACTCGCCTGTTCTGAATCTGCGTACGACTATTTATTACTTTTCAAGTATTTTCATTTAAAATTCAAGTGAAATAAGTTGTATTATTAATTGTACAGCACTAAAAGATGGTGTTGAATGCTACACTCCTCCCACCCTTCTGCACACGTACCTAGCTGGGGCAAGCCTGGGCCTGCCTTCTCACTTTTGCCAGTAAACGGAAAACTCAACATGCACTACGAGTATTAATACATAGCATAGCATAGGAAATACATTTGTACTACAAATACGAATACATTTCACGCTTAGAAATAGTTTAATTAAACACAAACAGAATACGTAAAATTGTGGTGTGTGGCCTGCCCCCGTTGTTTAAACTTCTACTTTCAACTTAAATTTATCATTTGAAATAATCAGTGATCGAGAACGGAATTAACTTCTAACTTAATCGTAAACAAATTGGATAAATATTTGGTTTGGTTTTCAATTGTAAGTAACAGCCATTGGAAGTGCGTTTTGGGGGGTTCTGCCTTGAGCTGTGCTTTGCTGTGATGCGATACGGATGGCGGTGGCGATGACATTGGCCTCCACTAAGAAACCATAGAATGGTGATAGTGCACTCGTAGCTGACGACGACGCTGCCGGAGCTTGGGCAGCTCCTGCTTGACTTTTGCTGCTCCATGCAGAGTGACTGTGTACGAGTGCAGCTTGATGAGCGGCTCATTTACTTCAAGCTCCATTCTGGTTCTGGGCCCGTTCTGGTGTGGTGTTGGTGTTGTTGTTGCTGTTTCTGTTGTTGATGGTGTGCTGGAAGTAGCATTCCGGAGACACATTGTGGCATTATCCGTCTTTATAGTAGTTGCTGGTAATCGTTGCTGGTCCTCTCCGCCCCCTAGTCGTCGCTCGGCTTGTCGTTCGCTTTTAGCTGGTCAAGCGAAAGACACTTGATAGAAGAGCCACTCTTCCATGAATGAAGGAACGAATGCCTTCGACGTGGTGTATTTAACCTTCGGCTTGAGCAGGGCCAGCTGTTCCTCGAACAGTTCCAGAGATTCAGTGCAACTGGTGCCATTGCCGTGGGTCAAGAACTTGCCATCTGGCTTCAGAACCTGGAACGAGTGCTCGAAAATGGTCCTGATAAAGTCCCAGTCGACGCCGACAGGTGCCCCTGTAATGGGTATGTCGGTGAGGTCGCCAAAAACATAGTCAAACTTGCGGTCCTCGGCAATGAACTTTTTCAAGTACTCCACACAGTCGCCCACAACGATTTCGTACTGGTCGCTCTTGCGCTTCTCCAAAACGTCCCCGCAAATCGAGTTGAGATATTTGTTGCAGGCCTCCATAACCAGCTCATCTATCTCCAGCATCACCACGTGCTTGGGGTTCTCCTTCAACAGCTCGTACAGCAGAGCGCCGTCCCCACCACCTAGAATGCAGATCTCCTTGCCCTCATAGTTCTCAATGCCACGACCCATCAGGGTTTCTGTATAGATCAGATCGGACTCGGCAATATCTGCAAATGTGTAATTTAATATCATGTTCATGCTGCTACCAGTTGATCGAATTGTACTTACTCTGAAGCTCGTCCAACAGTAGCATGTTTCCCAGAGTCTTTGAGTGCAAGATTTGAATCTTTTGGAAAGGCGAGCGTGCCTCATAAACAAGCTTGTCGATATCGTACTCAATAATGCGCTCATCTGCGAAAGATTAATCATTATTAGAATATACGTCAACATATGTATTTATGTATTGGCGAATTAATTTGGCTTGGATGGCTAAGCGGCATGCTGATAACCAACTGAGTGTCAGAAGCAAAACAAACCGAAAATTACATAGAAAGGACATCAAAGTAACAACGAGAATCTCTTCCAAATAAGGAGGAGAGTCGTCCATCGGAAAGAAACCGAAAATCCGAAAGAACGAAAAATGGCTGAAATGAATCTATCATGCTTGGTGCCTCTAGAACTCTCAGAACATCAGCTCGGTGCTGCATACGCATACGCATACGCTCAACGTTCATTCATATGAGATATGTACACTTTGAGTGGTATGCACATACATACATATCAGTAGATTGTTTGCTCTATTTTTTGTAATATGAAATCCAAAGAGTATACGTTACCTGACGATGGAAAATACCTAGGGACATCACCGCGCCTTAGGGCGGGCAGCTTCTGTCCCTTAATGGCCTTCAGTTTCACGGCCAAGGCATTTTCCAAGCTTTTGCCATGCACCAAGCCCTAGTGGGGGAGGTGGTGGTTCGTATCGTTTCGTGGTTGGTGGTGGTGTAGGTGTAGTTGTTGATCGAGAACGAGCGAGCGAGCGTACGTAGGAGCGAGGCGAGGCGAGGCAGGGCAGGTGACACATGGTGTGCATAGGGCGTATAAGTATAATTTCAATATTTTACACATTAATTTATAATTCAGACATAATTTTGGTGAATTTTCAGTTTGGTTTTTATTTTTCGTTGTTTTTGTTGTGTTGTTGGTTTGCAAGTGGTCCCGAAATGTGGTTGTTCATGGCGCGAAGATGAGCGATCGAATAGATCGTTTGAATATGGAAATAAAAAGTATATAAAAATTATAATAATTATAAATCAATCAGAGGAGGGAATAAGAACAATCCAAAGAAGGCTGGGCCACGCAGACTTTGAGGTCGGTAGTAATGGAAACTAGTAGCGTGACGGAACAAGCATGCAGGAACTTCCTAAGTAATTCCTATTATTACTAGGATGTAACGCTATACATACATATTTATGTACATATAGGTGGACAGGTGGGTGGTGTCGGCAAACCGATTGTATTCATGATGTGTTTGTTGTACATATGTGGTATATGGTATGTGCATTGCATTTATCTCATTACTGCACAGATGCTCACGGCCCTGCAGCGGAATTTTGCGAGACAGTTTCACGAACTGTCCGTGGGTAGTGGGTGGGTGGATAGTAGTGGTTTTAGGTATGAGGTTATACATAATTATTGCAAATGGAACGAACTGGCAAAACTAAACTAATTCGACCAACCTGAGCTAGTCATGTATATGTCGATATATCCGCCGCGCTTTATCGGTGGCAAGTATTTTGACCGATCGGAATCTAATTTCTGTCGCAGAATCAGTTCCATGGTGCGCATGGTCTGCAAAGTAATGCTTTATTTAAACCTCTCACACAAATGCAGGCCCAAGAATGTATGAATAAATCAAAACCCATGAAAACAGCACAAATAATGACCTTCGGGGCGAACTTTACAAGCGCCTCCCGCTTAGGCAGCCCAGCCGCAAACCTATTTATAGTCACAAATTCTTGGATACTTATGAAAAAGGAAAGTTGGATGCCAATAAAACAACAAAGCAACCCACAGACCAGACAGACCGAGCCATAAATATGCACCAAGGCAGGCCTGCTGCACATGCAGAAGCAGATGCAAATTGCAAAATACCAAGAAGAAACACAGAATGTTTGTTTGGGAAACCCGCAGAACCGGCATCAAGATAGGAGGGGGCTACATACATATATACATACACATTTATGTGTGTCTACACATACATGTGTGTCTCCTCGTACTATCTACATATGTATGTATGCATGTTTCGCGCTGTTTTTTGTGGCATGGGGAATTTCAATCAATGAACTTGATTTCGTAGCAAACCCACGTGGGTCCCAGAAAGAGAGCGCGCGAGCGAAAGCGGGCGACTGGTGAGGTAATCTAGCACAGAAGCCTAGCGTTAGGCCCGTCGTCAGATGATATGTACATATACATACACACATATAAAGCTGACAAATCGGTTGGTGGAGGTGTTAGATAATACTTTGGGCTTTGGTAGCATTGCCATTGGGGCTAGGATAGCCGCATTGTCGGCCCCTTAAGGCCAAGGACAAGCTAACCCAGAGGCCAAGGGTTTGGGGACTGGACAGCCCGACCGACACCGACGACGCGAAAGGGAAACGGTCTGGCACGCCCCCGCCGCCGGCGCGAGACACGCACACACACACAACCGTGCACTCGAATGTACATATGCGGAAAATCAATTTCCTTGCTGGTGGAACAAACCTCTTTCTCAAGCTTATCACAACGCCGGAAAGCGACGTGTTTTCTCTTGTGGCAGGGCGTGGGTTACGGGTTATTCGGTATAATCTTGAGGTAATAGAATAGCTTTACATACATCGAAGGACATGATGGGCTCCTTCCCAGCGGGCAGGAAGTACTCCACATTGACGGTCAGCAGGCCGTGCTGGAAGATGCGGCAAGTGATGATCGTGGCCTTGTTCTCGTGCAGCACCGAGAAGTACCCGTTCTCTATACAATCCATGCTGTAGACAAGTTCCAGCTGGGGGAAGACGTGCTCCAGCTCATTCCGCAGTATCTTAGCCACCTCCTGGCGCTGCTTCTCGTCGGCCGTTTTGGCGCTATCCAGCGTGAAGTCGAACAGTATGGTCTGGGCTGCCATTGTGATGGTCCACTGACTTTATAATTTATACCTATTTTTCAGACGAAACCGCACCGCGACCAGTGTGACCGCGGCTATATCGATAAAATATACCAAAATGACCTACCGAAATATACCGAAGAATACCTTTTCATTTTCAAAATACACCGTAAATATACCGTATATCCTATAACATTTCCCACAATTTTGATATTCTGCTTAATTTTACAAGCTAGTTATGATTCTCAACGCTAAAACTATAATTGTTTTCGATTTATGAATCAGATTTGACACTTTGTTGCTGGGCAACCAGCAGTATGTATCTTTGGAAAATCTCTGTATTACTTAATATTAAAGTTTTCCTTTCCAAACTGCTTATAATGCTTATCTTAGACTGACGTGCTTTTAACATTTTCATATGTTTTGTATACACATTTTCAGAATTATGTATACATTTTTGGCATACATTTGTTTATGTATTCATCTTCAGCGTGGTCCTTTTTTTACGATCCATTTCTCAAAAACCGCTCCATGAATTCTTGCACCAAAAACGCTGTTCAAGTGCGTTCACCAGGACGATAACAAGAAATGTGCCTATTGAATTGTACAGTCTACTGTATTGTGTGGTTATAATTCTCCTCTGATCTCTGCTATCCCGTCAAAGTCCCGCCAAAGTTTTATTAGGAAATAATGTGTTTTTAGTGTTGACAAAATCAAAATCTTTCATCGGTACATTTTCAGTATATTTTTAAAATGTAAACGTATATGACGGTATATTTCTGTGGGTCCGGCGCTGTATTTTATCGGCAATTCCGAGGCCACACTGTTCGGATGGACAAACAGCGCCGCATTTTCACAATATTTTGAATTCCACAAACAACAATATTGGGCCACCAGCAGGGAGTAGTTTAGTTCTTCAGCGAGAGAGTCGTTCGATTGTCCATCAGGTAGGAAATTCGTCAATGCGGCATCGCATTTTCGAACCTGAACCTGAACTTGAATGCAACACAGAATCGTGCGCCATCCAAGGCGAGCCGAGCGTTTGGCGGCAACAATGGGGTGCTAATTATAAATCACCCGCGAGATCAGCATAGGAGCTGCGCGGTGTGCTAATGAAGTGATGTCGCGGTGGGAAGTGTGTTTGTGTGTCTCTCTGATGACTGTGTGGGCGCCATAGCCACAGCATGCCAATGTTGTTACGTCGCCGTTTCGTTTCGGCAGCAGCCAACCACCCCACCCCTGTCAATCCACCCCATGTTTCGTGCTGGCGCCCAGGCATTGCCGGAGCGACTACTGCCACAACTCGTGACTCCCCCGTGGGTGCCTTTGAGTGTCGCGGCTTTTATTACAATGTATGACTGCGCTGTATTGATTTTTTGAATCTTTTCAGATCACGCTGTCTGCCCACCATGTGAAGGAGGTTCCCTGCAAATCCTGGGTAAGTGAGTGCGTGTGTACGTGCCCATGTGACTAGTAGACCTCGTCAGCTAATTAGCCCTGCATTTATTCATTCATTAAATTCCCTGCAGTAGAACAAACAAACGGAACGAAAGCTGCCAATGGGCTGAGGGCTGAGGGCTGAGGGACAAGCAGCACAATTAGGCAGTACCAGTACCAGTACGACTAGTACCAGATTTTCGGATCGTGTACGTCATCGACGTGCTCAAATAATTTGCATTGGGAAAGCAAATACTGTGCAACGACGGCGACACCAACAACGAGAGCATCTGCATTATTCGATGACGACTTGGCTGCTGTCTGCCATTACTATTTATATGCCATTATACCCGTGCTGCTGAGCAAAACAACAAGTCAGCTACGGGCAGAGGCCAAGAATCTCATAAATGTCAACCATACGTTAGATGAAAATCGGAAAATAGTCGCGCGACATGGGCAGCAGAGAGAGCTGATTGTACCTAACAAAGCACAAATTTACTTTGCAAAGTGCCTTTCTCCGGAAGAGGTTGAGCTAACCTCGTGATGTAAGGAAGATCAACAAACAACGTGATTTGATTAGACTATTTGGTGACTCGTACGCCATGCAGCACAGCACCGCTGGCAGCGAGGAGCGCATCACTAGCTCCACCAGCAGCCCCCGCTCTGGCCACAAGACGGGCAGCTCTCTCTTCGGGCTACTGACCAAGCGCCCTAGCAAGGTGGAACCTCATCCTATAACTCCCGAATCGCCAAGCCTTCAACGACGTCCCGTGTCCGCATGCGGCCACTTCGATGTGAGTTTCGCCAAGGCCACAGCGGAGCAAGCGCGAAACCACTTGGCCGTCAGCAGCAGCAGCAACAGCCATAGCAACCATAAAAGCCAAACACTGCCGTTGGAGAAATCGCACAGCGGTCTGATAAGCTTCCACAGGCGTACCAAGCCGTCGTCGAAAAGCAAAGGACACTCCCACCGTTACAGCAGTGACGCGGGCTCCCAGAGCGATGGAGGTGCGGACGTTGTGATGCGGCGCAAGTCGCCCAAGCACCGGTCACCGAACCATAACCGATTCAGCCACCAGTTCAGCCTATGCTGTAAGGCCGAGAAGAAGCCCCTGACACCGCCGGTCACGGTGCGCTACAATTCCATACCGGACAGCACCCTCAACAGCGTGCTTCGTCGCGACAACCTGTCGCTGAGCTTGAGTATGGTGGATAACAATTCGGTCTCGTTGAACTCTAGCGAGGGTGGCACTTCATTTCAGCGACCACGTCTGTCCAGTGAGTGCGCCAGTGCACCAGAATCGCCAGTCGGCACCAAGACCTTCTTTGCTCAATGCAGCAACGCTGCTGCTGTAGCTTCGGCCACAGCCGGCGCATCGTCCCCCACTGCTGTGGGGCGAAGTGAAAGCATGCCCCGCTCTCCGATCCGGCCCATTGCAGTCTCAGCCTGCCGCTCGCGTCTCCGCCTGAAGCTGTATCCTCCCGGGAAGGAGCTGCCGCAACTGCACACCACTGAAGAGTCTACGGACATTAAGCGTGCCACTACGCCTCAGCATATGTCCTCGCCCAACATAGCCAGCCAGCCTGATGGATTTGAAGCGACCATGCAGGAGCAGCCTGGCGTCCGCTTCATGTCGCACGAGAACATGACGCTGCAGCGACAGGGCTCCGGCTCCAACCTCGCGCGTCAGTCGCTGGTGGCTGCACATGCCCTAAACCTTATTCCTGCCGATAAGGCGCGCGAACGGAGCTACCTGGACGGGCGTCTAGGCTCCTCCTCTTTGCTGGGGCCAAGCGAACTGGGCCGCGTGCTGCCTCAGAAGGAAGTCACCATTTTCGTGGGCACTTGGAACATGAACGGTCACAGTCCACCCAAGTGAGTAGAAACGTTAATAATATCGCATTACGGACTCTAACTGAATGTTTCGTTTCCTTTGCTGACAATTTCAGACAATTAAATGATTTTGTGCTGCCGGCCAACGTGGAACATGTGCCGGACATAGTTGTCATGGGCACCCAGGAGTCCACGCCGGATCGCTTTGAGTGGGAGGTCACGCTGCAGGAGACCCTTGGCCCCTCGCATGTCCTTTTTCATTCGACCACTCTGGGCACCCTTCATCTGGCTGTCTACATGCGGCGCGATCTCATCTGGTACTGCTCGGCTCCGGAGGATGCCTCTATGTCGGTGCGCACCGGCTCTGCCTTTCGCACCAAGGGTGCTGTGGCCATATCCTTCTGCTTATTCGGTACTTCCATGCTCTTTGTGACCTCCCACTTGACCGCTCACCAGCAGAAGGTGAAGGAGCGGGTGTCGGATGTGAAGCGCATTATTAACGCTCTGGATTTGCCTCGGAATTTGCCCAACCTTCGGCACAAGAATAAGGATGTGACGCAAAATTTTGATAACGTCTTCTGGTGCGGTGACCTAAACTTCCGACTCGGCGAGCCCCGCGAGAAATTGATGGAGTGGATTCAAAACACAAAGTTCCCGCTGCCCTCGCACTTGCCACACGGTTACATGCATACGGATCAACTCTCCTCTGTGCTGGCCGACGGTGCGGCCTTCCGTGGCTTCATGGAGGCAAATATAACATTTCCACCTACTTACAAGTACGACCCGGGTAGCCAGAACTTCGATACCTCCTCAAAGCAGCGCGCTCCGGCCTACACTGACAGAATACTCTACAAGTACAGGCAGGTCCAGGGCCTAGTCATACGTCGCCAGACCATAATACCAGGCGTGTCCACGCCGACGCAGCCCTATGTGCAGTGCCTGTTGTACGACTCGGTGCCTTCCATAACCACATCGGACCATAAGCCGGTGTGGGCTCTCTTTAAAACCTTCATCCGTGCCGGATCTGACGCGTAAGTGGTGATGTTTTTCCGGAGACGAATAAATAGATTAACTTTCATTTCGTTTCAATTATAGGATTCCCTTGGCTGCTGGATTGTTCAGTCGGGACATTTACTTAGAGGGAATGCGTCGTCGCTTGAATAACCAATATACGGGAGCCTCGGCCGTCTGTGCCATACAGTAGACTCTCATTAGTAGCTATTAGCTAGTCAGAGTTAAAAGTGGGGTGGCTGTTCCAGAAGCTTCTTTCAGCCACATAAATAGTCATTTACTCGAATCTGTCAGTTAGAGGCTGGCTGACATTTCTACAGTGCTAGTCAAAGCTTTCCTACGGTTGTGTGTCGCCATTGTATTACCTAGATAGATAGGACTCTACCCTGCAGCAGACTAATACCAAATACTCGGTCGTGAATTGCCATGCAACTCCGCATTAGTAATTAGGCGCCGCCTTTTGCCTTTCGCCTCGAGGCCTTAGATCGTAATACGTTCCTTATGAAATTATTATGAATGCACACTCAGAAACAATTCTGTACCTCTACTCTAAAGCACAAGCCTAGCGAGTAGTTAAATTACACGTGTTTTAGCAAGAAAGTAGTCCAAATATTGAAGAGAACTCGAAGAACTTTGAATTACTTTGATTGTTGAAACTGAAGTAGAATTAAATATACATACATATTCTAATAAGAATCAGAACTACGCAATTGTTGATTCTTGAAACCTTATTGTTATAATATTTATTTGATTATTATTTAATTCTTAAGATTGTTAATGTTGAATCGTGTCTAGTGATCTGATTATTTTT